GTCCTTTAGGGGGAGTGCAACCCCATCAGGACAGGTTTACAATCTCCCAGTTGAAATAGGGGTTTATTTGCCAGCAGTACTTCTGCTTTATCAGGATTGTGCTTGAGTTTATTGGTCCTCATCCAACTCATTTCTGAGTTCTGATACTGATTGAGGGCAGAGACCGCCACACCTGGGTCAAAGGCAACTTAGAGACAGAGCTGAGTAGCATCAGCATACTAATGACACTTCAGCCAACATCCAAATGACCTCTCCCAGTGTTTTCATATACATGTGGAAAAGCATGGGTGATAAAACAATGAGGAGATATTCCATGACATAAATGCCATGGTGCAGAGTGATAATCCCCCAAATTGCAGTCCCTTAGATGTGTACAGGTATAGGACATTTCCTAATGCTAACCCTAAACAGAAGGTGAACCCTAATCCTACTGCTACCCTATAATTCCATGCACTTGGAAAGTCTCGGCAAAAGCACATTGCTCAAGGGTTTGCTTGTCAGTTTTCTCTTATTCTCTCATCTCAGCAAGTTCCAGATCTTTAGACATGCCCAGGCACTGATCAGTTCCTAACCTTAATCCTAAACTGAAGCTGAACCCTAACCCTACTTTTGCCCTATATTCCCATGCTTTTGCAAATGTTCAGAAAAGACAGTGCACTTGCAATTTTCTGTTTCATTTCAGCAAGTTCCGGGCATTTGAATGCACAAAGGGACTTATGCTTTTCTAATCAAAACCCTAAGCAGAAGGTAAACCCTGACACTAATGTAGTCTTATACTGCCATGTATTTAAATAATTCTGGGAAAGATTTTCTCTGCCAGCTCTCTTTTTCTCCCTCATTTCAGCAAATTCCAGACCTTTAAAAGTGCATTGGCACTTATTTTTTCTGAACCCTAACCCTGACCTAAAGCTGAAATTTAATCCCAGTATTGCCCTATGCTGCTATGCATTTGGAACAGTTCAGCAAAGGCAGCACACTAAACTATAGCTGTTGCTACAGAGTTCAAAACACAGTTCTCTGCTAGGAAGCAGTTATAACTGTTGCTGCAGTTGTTACCAAAACTTTCCCCTTTTGAACTCTGACTTGCCTTCTGTTCCTATCTATTTCAGGGATGGGAAACATTTCTCAGTCCAAGGGTCATTTTAGAGAAGCTCATTGAAAAGGGGAGTGCATTTCAGTGATTGCTCCCCTGCCCCTACCTCTTCTTCCCTGCAGAGGAAACCTCTTATCTCTGATCAGCAGCTACTGAGAAATAAGGAAGCAATGTTAGAATAAAGCTGCAGCTTTCCCTATAGTTCTTTCTTCTAGTATTTATTAAAATGTTTTTATTCTACATGTTCTATTACAAAAACTGTACTACCATTCTGTTTCAATGAGGTAGATTATTATTTCTTCAACTGGAGTCTTGGATATAAATCTGAAAAACAACTTAAGTCAGCACTTTTCCCTGCTAGGATAGAATGCTCTGATACCTATCACAGAAATGATATGACTGACAAAACAAAAACTAGCAAACATGCACGCATTTTGTTCTTTGCCTTTCAGAGACATTACTATGTCACAGAAACCTCAAAATTCACAGGAGCACACTATGTGCACAATTCTTAGTTGATCATCTGATAAAGTGGATTCTAATACACAAAAGCTTCTGTCATACTAAATGTGTTAGTTTTTAAGGTTCCACAAAGGTCTTTATCACTTTCCTAAACAGGGGCTAACCCTCTGGAGTTCAAATTTCCATAGTTCTAATCAGCAGGATCTTATCAGAACAGTGCAAATGATTCTAAATACAGAAAACTTTATGCACTTTACCTCCTTGTCGATGACACTCCAAATACTAGATGGCACTTCAGCTTTCTGTACTTTATTGGCAACAGCTGCTTCTTTTGCCCAGAAAAAAGGGCACAAGAAAATGCACGCATACACTAACTACAAGGAGAAGAAAGTAGCAGAGTTGTTTAAGAAGCTTATGTTTGCCACTAAGTATAGCAAAGAAGCATTGGAAGCTAGAGTGAATACAGTCTCACTGTCAGAAACTCTCACTATTGTGAGTCTGTCACCTTGCTATTGCAGCTATCTAGGATGTGCCATAAAGGGCCTTCTCATTAGGCTGGCAGGCAGTTAGGAGAGGGCCCTTTCTGCAATGGTTCCACATATAATATAAGCTGGTCCAATGAACTCCATTCTTATAAGTCTGCAGTGAAAGGTTCAAAGGCCCATTTATTTTGTGCCAGTATTACATATGTTTGGCTTGCCTTGTGATTCTCCTTCCCCTTGCAATGATGATGCAGATAGACAGGCACACATCATGGTTAAGTACCATCATTCTATGGACTACACAATAAACAGGTTCATTCATTGTAGAAGTCCCAGGTACAAGTAGAAATCCTAAAAGAAGTTTAACATTTGCTGTTCTGATTTAAAAATAAGATATAGTTGTAAATCCTACAATGCTATGTTATACTGAAATTCCACAAAGGTTTATTTCTTGGTGTTTGGATAAGACCTGGATAAAGAAGTTTAAAAACAAATTATTCCTATGAAAAAACAACTCCTGATTAAAAATAGATGTGAGATTTAAATGCCATTTTAAGAATAACTGAGAAATTCAAACGTATTAGCAGTGTCTTACTTGCATCAACAATTTACACTTCTTATATCTGTGGACAACCAGACGTCCCACACTGATAATTACTGAATAAAATACTTAATTTAAATCAAACATGCATAAAATGTGTTGCTGACAAAAGGCAAAGTGTTCATTATGAAACTAAAGCTATGGAACATACAAGCTATGGCTTTTAGCATATTCCATCTAATTTGAATTATATACCTCCATGATAAACTTCAGAATAAACACAAATCACAATTCTGTTATTGTACTGCAAAATAAACCAACCCGTTTCCACATTTCATGGTTTGTTAAGTTTACAGCATGCATAAAGAAAATGTTGACCTGCCAAAGAGGATGGCAGAAAACATATTCTCAATTTCCCCAACTTCTACTCTACACTGATGAAAAGAGAAATGCTGGTGTGGAAAGTGGCAACATGATTCTAGAATCAGCCACAACTGAGGACTTGGTCTATTTGGACTTGACATAAACTCTAGACTACTGTAACTGAGCAGTACCCTGCCTTCTATCCCTTGTCATGTAAGCTAGACTGACATTTGGTTTCTTTTATTTCTTCTTCATATGAATAGCTTTTTAAAATTCTCCCAAATTTGTGGTTAAACTGACAGTATCATCATAAAACTAAAACTGGAAAACAGTGCAATTAAAACTACTTGCAGGAATATTAAAATAAATTAAAGTACATAGATTTTTTACAGCATTGGCTTTTGCACCACACACACACATTTTAAGTTTCTAAACAAGGACAATTGTGGGAAATTGGTGAGCTTTTATTTCTATCATACTTGGGACTCTTTTTATCATTGGCTAGAGAAATGGGACTTCATATAGATTTAAATATGTTTTTAAGTCATCACAAATGGAAAAAAATGTGGGGGCTGACCCGATAGGTCCAATGTTTCTGATGATTGATGTTGTTTTTAGTTTTTCTTTGTTGTAGGGTTATAATTTTGAATAAAAGTTATTATAAAAAGAAAAAGCAAAGAAAGCCATATTAACTTCTTTAACTATTGCAAAAAATGCATTAAAGAGCAGGATAATGAAAGAAAGAAAATTGGTGAGCTTTTTTTCTGGTTGCAGGAGAAATAAAAGCAGTTTATTTTACCCATTAGCATTCAGGAGTACCAAGTAGCAGATTTTCAATAAATTAATCTTTCAAAAAGTGGAATGCATTTCCACTTGTGTCAAATTCATATATACTGGAAAGTATATAGAAAGATGTTGCAGTAGTACTTCTCAAAGTATTATTAGAAAGCATAAAACCAGTGAGAGACAGGCAAACTTTTGGAAAGCTCAGTCTGTATGTGAGGATTTCATGAAATGAAATCTAGTCTACTAAACTAATGACATGGTAAATATTTTAGTTTTTACAAGATGCCACAAGAGACTGTTTTTGCTGCAACAAACTAGCACACCTTGTGAGAACCTTCAAGTTGTGAAGCCCTTGCAACCTTGTTTCTGTTGTCTAAAAATTGTTACATTTCATCATTTCTTCCATTTGTCTCAGGTTAATTCAGAAGCTCCAACACCCACAGAAGTATCTTGCTAATTAGCAGATTATTGTTGAACAGCAATACAAAAATAACAGATAAGGCTGGTAATATGTGCATTAAATAAAAGACTAGGCACAAAGTCTTATTATTGTATGTACTCCTGTTTACTATCGTTTCAGTTCTTGTGTGTGCCAGTTAACTTCTTCCAGCCTGGGGAGAAAAGGTGGCAACTGCTACAATGAAATTGCTGTCCATGGGAAATCTGGTTAATCTGTTCTCATTTGTATGGGTACTAACAGCAGTATCTAGATCTGTGAAGTCCTATAGACAATAAGAGGTTATGTAAGACATGTACGGGGCAGCATTCGTTAAAAAAATTGTAATACTGAGATGTTCAACCATTGTAATAAAAGTATTTAAAAGTTATTCCCACTGTTTGTTAGCTTTAGTAAGTTTTTTAAGCTCACATGAGCCTCCGATGGCCATGTGCTGGGCCCAACTGAACAGTCATCCATCTCACATAGCAGAGCTATGAAGTTTGAATTATTTAGTATAATTGCAAGTGGCCCACATTCAAACCAGGTCTGTTGCACTACGGGAAGTATGAGTTAAAAAAAGAAAGGCATTCCCACTGAAATCAATTACTTACACTCAAGTAAGTGAGCCAATTCCACATGGCAGTATTTCAATCAGCAGGGAAGCATCAGTCACTCTCACAGGGTTTCCCCCATTTTTCAGAAGCATACTGACTATTAGCTAGCTACTGCTGCAGTGTTAAAAGCTTAGCAGGAGAGCTATGCCATCACCAGCCATGTTTACCTTACAGAAAGGGGAAAGCAAAAAGAGGAGCTCCAGCTACATTTTGCACATACCTTTGCAGATGAAGGTGCCACAAGATCAACAGGCACCTTCGCTGTTCAAAACTAAGAGATGAAGTGCAGATCACCACAGAAAGGTTTTAGGAGGCGAACTAGGAAGCAATATGCATCTGCACTGAACTAAACTTAGCAGTCTGCCATATGGTCGTGTGAGGCCAGCAGCACATTCTTATTCATTAGGAAGCATTCTGCCAGTGTAAAAGCACAAGGCCCATCCTGCGCTCGCCAAATCTGTTTATTTTTTCAACATTAATGCACAATATATCATCAGCTTGCTGAAATCTCCTGCAGTGCGTATTTGAAAAGCGCAGCTGCACTATTTCCTAGCTTGTTTACTCACTGAGACTGAATATTTGCTTCACTCCCTTCTTAACACATGGTCTGTTGTCAGCAAATGAAAGCTACTTATAACCTAGGAGGAGTGACAGCATATTAGCCAATCCAGCATTGCTAGTCGTCTCTTCCTTTTTCTATTCATTTGATGGCCAAGAAAGGAAAGCTGATTTAGTTTCATTTTTATCCCTTATCATGCCCACGTGTGTAAATTAGTTTAGTGAAGGAAAGGGTAAACCCAGACTGTTGAAACTGAACACATTAAGTTCCAAACTAAATTCAGTTCTTGTTGCAATGGCTAATATACCCCCGGCATGTATTTCATTCTATTGTGACACTTAGATTCAACACTTTCTCCCTTGTGATAGCAGAAAGTAACTTTTCCATCAGATGCAGCAGAAGCTTTTATGAGCCATAATAAACCCAGGGATAATTGGGAATGTTTTATTATAAGCATCCAGTTATTCAGAGGTTGTAGAGTGAACACACCAAAGCTCTAACCCCCTCCCCCCGATGTGTAAATATATATATGAGTATGAAAGAGAAATAGATTAGGTTAGATTAAATAAAATAAATTGTGTTTAAGCAGCCTTTGGTTCTGCCTGTATTAGTATTCATTTTGTCAAATCAGGGTTTACAAAGTCATTTCCATGGCTGACCTTCTAAATGTGATTTAGATGCAATCCCTGGACACTATCACCCATAGATGCAATCAGTGCAGAAATAGTGCTATGACATGGTCAAATATGATAAGCAAAGGCAGAAATAATATATATGTATGCATGTCAAAGGCATGAGTAAAGCTAACTGCAAATATGAGATTTATTGGGAACCAGCATTATGTTTGTGCTTGACAAATTTCTAATATTTAATCTTGTAAGATTTTTTTGGGAACTGAATTAATCAATTTTCTGTAATACTTGACTTGATAAACCTGATTCCAATGTTAATTAAACATATCAATTTTTGTTCAACCTTTTCCAAGATAAGGCTATGCGATGGGATGGCATACAAATACTCTAAATAAATAAATAAATAAATAAATAAATAAATACTAAGCAAATCTGTTTTGTCACTCTCCCATAAATTCTGTTATTTTTAAAATATGCCTTTCATTAGTATTCTTTCCCTTCAAAGTTGGTATGATTCACAAATAATTTGTTTAAAGAGATATTTTGATGTGCCTATGAAACTGTATCATACTTTTAAAATCTCACATGAAGAAGGCTTGCCATTTCAGCATAGATTTGTAATTGATTTTAACTGAGAGGACAATGCTCTGACTGAAGAAGAACCAATGGTGTGACACACTGATGCCTTGTTCTTCTAGGAGTGAAACTAATGAATGGAACCAAGATGGGATTAGCTTTCAATATGCCATCTTTCTACAATGGCACTTGATGTTTCTCATAAAATGAGAAATTTCTATTCTAAATTGAACCAAAAAGTCTCTGCTGAGTTTCCAGGAAACACTTCCAGAAACATCAACTTCCATCTTCATATATGTTCTTTGATAGTATCAGCATATATAATTTCAAGTTCTGGAGATGACTGACTTCCTTTGAAATGGCTAAAAACTAAGTCACTTCAATAAAATCCAGTTATGAACTCCAGTTGACATTGATAAAGTACTATTTTCTAGCTTTAGTCACCATCTCAGTGGCAGACACAAACAGAAAAAACATGAATTGAAAAACTCTCTTTTATCCAATTCCAACAGACTGCTTTATCACTTTTCTTTTGACAAAAATGCCTGAGCTGCTTGGAAAATAAATGCCATATCAGATAGAAAGCTATGAAAAAGCCCTTTTAATCAATGGTGCCTTGGTGCTAGTTTTCAAACAACTAGTAGAAACTCTGAGGTGTGAAGATTTTTTTAAACTTTTGCTTTAGCTTCACAGAAAGAATAGCTATTCCAACAAAACAACAGGCAACAATATGGCATGCAGCAGAGCTAACAGAAATGCACATGAAAAAATCAGACCCTACAAATTCTAAGCCCAAGGCAGGGGTAGCTCATTCCAAATGCTCCCCCTACCCTCAGGGTGTTTTAAAAAACTACACTTCAAAACAGAAGGGCTACACACACATCCTACATGGTTTTACAATACATTTATGAGTCCCATGATGCACAGCTGCTACATGCTAAATGTGCAGCTGCCCATACTTCCTTTGTGCATCACACACATAAAGAGAGTCCATGCACTGAAAAGCTGTCCATGATGTCATGTCATTTTCCTGCACACAGCCATGATGTTCACACGGCTGGCACTAAAGTTTTGTTTAGTGAATAAAGCAAGCGCAACACATGGATGTTAGATCTGGAGCACCATGTGGTGATGGGGTGGCACAGTCACAGTGTTCCTTTCAAGGGGATTCTTTTTTCAGAAGATACATGCTATCTTCAGTGAGCTGTAACAAAACAGCAGAATTTAGGCACGCTTCATAAAAAGTTCTCTAAAACGTTCTAACTGACCTGATTCCCAGTAGATCAAGACATTCCTTGCATTTTCTTGACTCAGCCTCACGTGGTTCAGAGGAATTTTCAGCAATCCCATTAATCTTAAATACATATCTGCAACTGAAAGAGAGGGAAGATAATGGAATGCTCAGAATAAAGATATATATTTTATATGCCTTGGTTCTCTCCACACTTAGTATTCCATTAGCCACTTTATTCCACCCATTTATGTAACTCAGGGGCCTTGCAGAAAACAAATATTATGTCATATTTTAATCAACCATTCTTAAGCAAAGACACTTCAGTCCATTTTGAGCAAATGTTATGCACAAAAGTAAATTTAATTACTTCCAGCTTGAGAATCAATACTTTTTCATGTAGGGTTGAAAAAAGTTTCAAAGTGTATAGCACAACAACATAGCACATGGGTGGCAATTCCTTCTTTGGAAGTTTCTTAACTGCAAACTAGGAGTAAGTCAACCCATTATCATAGTGCAGGCAGATTAACATTTGAGAATCTGGTTTTTTAACTTGTGGCTGTGAGCCACCCAGGGGCACTGTGGCATAATTGGGTGGCACACAAATGCAATAAGTAAGTAAGTAAATAAGTAAATAAATAAATAAATGAATAAATGCCAATTGCTGGAAAAGTGTAGGCCTGCAGCCAGATGGGTGACCACATGTGGAAGCAGAGCAAGGGGTTGGATCTGATGGCCTCTGGACTCCTCCCAACTCTACTTCTATTATATCACTGAAGTGCAAACCATGGCAAGTTTCCAAGAGAAGTTCCACACTTCTGGCTCAACTACCAAAAATATTTCTAAATACCATTATGGCACAGATGTGAGATATACATGGCATATTCACGGTTGAGTTACTGGCTGAGTAAAGATATCTGAAGAACAGATGGATGAAAGAAGTCTATGAAATTATATAAAAAGAGTGGGGGAGGTTGGTTGGTTTACCATTCTTCAGTGAAACTATATATGAAACTCTGGTTGGCCAGAGCTACTGACACGTTTGCTCCTAAGTGCCCTCTCCCGCCTGGCAGAGCCCGTTCATCCCCTTGGTATACACCTGAATTACGGGTGATGAAGCAGGTTGGGAGATGGCTAGAGCATTGGTGGAGGGATAAATCTGACCAAACACACTTAAGAGCTCATTATCAAGCCTATGCTGTGGTGGTGAGGGTGAAGAAGAAACGCTTCTCCACTTCCATTGCCTCCTCACAGTGCCATCCAGCGGAGCTTTTTCGGGTGGTACATCCAGGTCCTAAGAAAGATTCAGTACCACCCTCAATAACCCGCTGTGACGACATTGCCCAGCACTTTAAGGAGAAAATCCCTCAGATTTGGACTCCACTAGTGATTCATATTCCTTAGGGGAGGTGCCAATGTCACCATCTAGTCACATATTGTTGAATGAGTTTCAGTTATTGCGGCCTGATGATGTGGACAAGGTGATTGGACCTGTATGTCCCACCACCTGTTTATTTGATCCTTGCCCGTCGTGGCTACTGTCCAAAGCCAAACACGGGATTGGTGCCTGGATCCTAGAGGTTATCAACACATCTTTGAGGGATGGCCGAGTGCCTGCCCCCCTAAAGGAGGCAGTGGTCAGGCTGGCCCTAAAGAAGGCGTCCCTGGATCCAGAGATGGCCAATTATAGACTGGTGGCAAACATCCCGTTCCTGGGCAAGGTGTTAGAACGGGTGGTGGCAGGACAACTCCAAGCTCTCTTGGATGAGACTGATTATCTGGACCCATTTCAGTAGGGCTTCAGACCTGGGTATGGTACTGTATCTGCCTTGATTGCCCTGTATGATGACCTGTGCAGGGAGACAGGGGGAGTGTGTCCCTATTGGTTCTCCTGGACCTATCAGCGGCTTTCGATACCATCGACCATGGTATCCTTCTGGATAGGCTAGTGGGACTGGGAGTAGGAGGCACTGCTTGGCAGTAGTTCTGCTCCTACCTCGACAGCTGAGTCCAAAAGGTGGTGCTGGGGGACTTTGGCTCTGCACCATGGCAGCTATGCCATGGAGTACCGCAGGGGTCCATCTTGTCCCCCTTGCTATTCAACATCTACATGAAACCGCTGGGAGAGGTCATCAGGAGGTGTGGGCTGTGGAATCATCAGTACGCTGATGATACCCAGCTCTACCTCTCTTTTTCAACCGATCCATGTGAGGCAGTGGCTATACTGAACCTGTGCCTGGCCGAGGTAATGGGCTGGATGAGGGCCAATAAACTGAAACTCAATCCAGACAAGATGGAGGTCCTATTGGTGGGAGGTTCGAGCTCCTGGGTAGGTGACTTGGACCTTGCCCTGAATGGGGTTGCACTCCCTCTAAAGGACAGGGTCCACAGCTTGGGAGTGCTCCTCGATCCAGAACTGCCCAAGTAACTGCGGTGGCGAGGAGCGCTTTCCTTCAGCTTCAGCTAATCCATCAGCTGCATCCCTACCTGGAGGATGATTGCCTAGCGACAGCGACGCATGCATTGGTTACTTCCCGGTTGGATTTCTGTAACGCGCTATGTGGGGTTGCCCTTGAAGACAGTACGGATACTTCAGATGGTGCAAAATAGAGCAGCCAGGTTGCTGATGGGGGCTGGATGTTATTCTCATAAAACACCAGTCCTCTACCAGTTCCATTGGCTTCCCATCGAAGTCCGGGCTCAATTCAAGGTATTGGTAATCACCTATAAAGCCCTTAATGGCTTGGGACCCGGATACCTAAAGGAATGCCTTCTTCCATATTTGCCCTCCTGTCCCTTAAGATCGGCAGCAGAGGCCCTCCTCCGGGAGCCCTCCGTGAAAGATATTAGGAGGCAATGGACCCAGAGGAGGGCTTTCTCTGTGGTGGCGCCCCATCTGTGGAATGTGCTCCCCAGAGAGGTCCGCCTGGTGCCATCATTATTTTAGATATTTGTTTTTAAATGTTAGATAATATTTATAGGTTTTAATTGTGCAGCCAGGGTGTTTCTGGGTTTTAATTGTATTTGCATTATGTTTATTTAGTTATGTGAGCCATCCTGAGGCTATAAGCAATGGCATGGTATACAAAAATCCTAAATAAATAAATAATTTCCTCTTACATTAAACGTTTTGCTTAAAAAGAATGATAACATGCAAATGGAAAATTTTTATTCTGCCTGTTAACTGTAAGAACATATTTAGCACAAGACCAAGGTCACAATGCCATTACCTTTTTATTCATTTATAGATTCATCCATCATGCTCAAAGAGGCTTATATTTTAAAAAATGACAGAAGTAGCAGCACTAAAACAAGTTGATTTACAACCATGTATCAAAAGCCACAAATCATAATATAAAACCAGTTCAAAACAAACTCCTAACATAAATCAGAAATAAATCAAGCCAGCTGCCTTTAGAAAGAACTGTGTGAAAGGAGCAAGCCTCCAGACCCAGATATTATTATCAGTTCTTGGATTGCTTTGGAAAAAGGGGAAAGGTGCTTCCAGGAAGCGATTGCTCTCTGCCTCACTACCAAGACAAGACAGTCAAAACAGGCATATTTGTTGACTTGTAGTAGATTTTGGTTGCCTCCATTTAGATTCTTTTCCCTGGTCTGTTTTGGAATCTTCATCTCTGGATTCTTTTTCAAGGTGGACCACACTGGTTTGGACAAAGTGAAATGCATGTTAGTAAAGCAGAGAATGTACCAACTCCAGTTGTGTCAGCTAGTGAGCTATGGCATATACTTTCATGTCAGTAGCAGTTTAACATATTTTCACATGCAAAATTAACTTTATGAGGAAACCCAGATTTTAAAAGTGACAACATGTGTTTGATAGCCCTGGGCAGACAGGCTGATATTTACTTTGGATCAGGTTGCTCGTCTTATTTATACTTTTTCCACTATTTATACTTCTTCCACTTCACAGGCTATGTATAAATTGTCACCAATGGCTGCATGGCAATACATGCAACTGAAACTTCTGTTAAAATCTATGTTTGGTCTTGCTGCTTTTACAGCTTTAGAATCCCTGTTTTATTGGAAGAATTGACTGAAGCTGAAAAACCGCTTTCACCTACAATTTATGCTTATACCTATTTAGTACCAGTGAATGAATATGATAGACAGAGTCTCACACAAGAACAAACTAAAGGACTGAAATATGCCATACTTCCCAGCCAATGGAGTGCCTCACTATGATCTATTTCACAAGGGATTATTGGTACATTCATTCAGCAAAAACGGATGCTTGGAATATACTGAACAAACAATGCCTCTGTAATAAAGGTTAATAAGGCTCCCTGGAAAAGACAATAACGTTAATAAAAGCTGACAGCCGAACAAGAGGAAGAAAACCAAATATGAGATGGATTGATTCCAAGAAGCCACAGCCCGCAGGGCTGTCAAGGACAGGACACTTTGGAGACCATTCAAAGGGTCGCCATAAGCCGGAGACGACTGAACGGCACGGTCCGGAACAACAATAAACAGGCCATGCGGCGAGCCCCGCGGGACGATGGAGGCGGCCCCGCCTCCCCCGGCCAGGCGCACGCAGCAGCAATGCGGCTCCCCAGGCTGCGCTCGCACCCAGCGGCAGGCAGGCAGGCAGGCAGGCAGGCAGGCAGGCAGGCAGGCAGGGCCTGATCGGGGACCGGCAAGGGGGACTCCGAGGGCCGCGCCGCCGCCGCGCAGACACAAAGTTGCAGAAGTTAAAAAGCCTGCTCGGCCGCGGGCGCGAAGAAGCCGCCGCGCGCGCGCCCCCGCCCCGCCCCCTCCGCCCTCGTCTGACGCGATTGTCACCCAGGCAGCCCGGCTCCTCCGCTGGCTCTGCATCCGCCGCCCCTCGCCGGAGGGACCCGCTCCCCGCACGCTCGCCGGCCGCCCCCGGCTCCCAGCGACGCGACGCGCCGCTCACCCTCGCCCGCCGGAAAGAGCGCGCCGCGCCGCCCCGGCCCCATTGTCAGCCACGCAGCTGCCGCCCCCGGAGGCCTCTCTGTCGCCGAGCGGCGGGGCGCGGGG